CTTGGAACTGTGGGAGGAAACCCACATGTGAAAATAAGAGTCCATCTGAGGGTACACGTGTAGCACATGATATTGAAATGCACTGAATTTCATCGCTGTCTTCCTCATGTCATTGGCATCGCATGTCATTTTAAGATAGATACAACTGCCAGAGCTGACACTGGGTAATAAATGATATATGTCCTACCTGGATTGTTTCAATCCTGCAAGATCAGTGAGTCATTGGAGGGATGTTGTGGAGTTCAGCTGTGTGCGAGAGCCAGCATCCCAGATTGTTCACATTTATTATTATAGAATAATATAGGTTACATGGCCAGGTTTCAAATAAACATTTCATACTGGGTTATGAACATCTTGGTGCTTTTATTCATGCACACTTTTTATATAAGCCTTAGACTAAAAAAGAAATCACCAATTCTTTCTTACATATGATATGTCAGGTGTTTCTTGTGTTGCTGCATAACCTGAGTTGATGTGATACCATGTCCATGAAGGTTCCTGATAACACAGAAAGAAGGATGAAGATTGATTGAAACCCAGATTGACAGAATATATATTGATCGCAGAGGAAATACGATATGTGCCCTGATCAGTGTCACAGCCATTTCTCATTCTCAGACAGGACACAATATCAAGATTAATGTGAGGAAATAATTGATTAATCTTCTCTCTCCACCAAAGGAAAGACAATAACTTTCCCCTTATTTTATTTCATGAGTCAGAAGCCACAGCTGTATTTTGGCTTAATATTACAGATATTATCATAATTACTGCTGTTCCTTCTGTTGTGATGGAGTTATTTTTGTTGTTGCTTCCTGCACTGCTGCTATTGTTGTGTCCATCCTTGTGTTTCCCAGCTTCTTTTAGTATTGACAAGAAGTTTCAATTGTCATTAATAAGTAATTAATCTTAATAAGTAAATGCAGATGACAATTTATCATAAGCAGTGGAAGCTGTGCAGTATGTGTCTCAGCCTTTTGGAGTAGATAGGTTAAACCTCATGAGCAGGAAGAATTTATTTCAACTGGAAGATAAGATTAAGCAGCAGCATTATCCCAGCTGGCTTCGTTTCCATTTTCTTCTCCACCTGGCTAGCATCCCTTCCCACCTCACTTTCGGTTCAGAGGATCTCCAAATATTTGTTGCCGAGATCTGTGGGATTTGAAGGACATCTAAGCATTCACCTGCTCTGATACGTTTGGTTACATATCACTCTGCATGCCAAGGGAATCCCAGTCTTGATTGTAGATTTTTTATGTTGGTGTTGTAAGAACAGGGTTATAAATCTGTGGGATGCCTAAGCCCAGGTTACAAGTACAGCTAGGTTAGTAGTGCTTGAGGAGCATTATATGGGAGTTTTTTCTAAATGGTGTCATTAAATTGTTTAAGTCAAATTACTATTATTTTTATAAATTGTATGTGTGACTCTTCAGACGGGGTTCCCCATGCCACGCCTGGAGGCTCACACACACCTGTTGTTACAAAAACCCTTAACTCATATTTTGGGAGTAGTAGCCTTTTAATTATTGAACTGTAAGTAACTCAAATCAAATTCCATGAGTAACTCAAAATCAAATGGAAAAAAAAGCTTGATTGATTCATTAGAGGGTTCAGTTAAGTATAGTGTTCTTCTGGATGAAAAATCAACAGGTACAGTGCCCAGGATGAGTGCTGTATGATTGTATGAAATGCAGTTTGGACATCTTTTTTAAAAATGTAAGCAGATGTGTTCCTTCATTTGACTGAGAGATCTGACTGAAGGTCCCGCAGAGCTTTGTGGCCAACACTGACCACTGTGATTCAGAAGCAGCCCTGGACGATTTCCAAGTTTATTGTGAATTGTGTGTAGCCGCAGAACTCTCTAGGCCAGGAATCCTTAAGGGAGAACAGAGAGGGAGGATTTAAAATCCTGGTTGATGATGGCTGCACTCACTTGTCACACAGGAAGCAAGAGCTGCACGTGTTGGTGTTGTTCCTCGGCAGTTCTCGAGGGGACAGTGACGAACGATGTTTCCCAACATTGCAGCTTCAGCAGGTGGCCAGGGAATGGGGTGCGCCTGAAACTGCTTCAGCCAGTCAAACGCCCGCATTGCGTCTGTCAGGCAGACAGAGAGCAGTGAAATATGGACTCGCAGTGACAAATGCAATAGGCCCAGGAAAAATGTAATATAAAAAAATGGATACACGTGACAGATGGACTCCACAGAGTAATATATCTGCTCAGGAGAGATTCTCTGCAGTCTACTGAAAAAAAACTCCCCGCCAGTGGAATTTTAAATATCACCTGTTGCTTAACAGACACAGGAGCTGTTTCAATCTCCATTTTAGTGCTGTCACAACTAATGGTGATATACTCGTGTGGCTGTATGTATGGTAAGAAAGCTTAACAAATAGTTCTGCCCTGTGTTTCGAAGCCCTACCTTTGGTGTGAAGTTTCAATTCCAATGTCTGCAGGGCCATTTTATAGCACAGCAGCGATCTGACAGGACCTCTTTTGCAGAATGAAAGAGGAAAATGCCGGACAGACATAGGCAGGGCAGTCTTATCTGTTGCAAGACTCTTTCTTCTGGGGTTCTTTTAGCCTTGAACTTAGGGTCACCTTACCATTTTTTCAGCCAGATGAGTTATACCAAATAGACTTTAAATGCCCAAACCCTTTAAACAGCCTCACCTCACCGCATTGATTAAACCTGGAGTGAACTACTGAATGGCACATCATCCAGGAAAAGTGGGCAGTGGATGGGCACTTGGTGCAGCTGATGCACAATGAGTAAGCTGCTTCAAAACTAGTAGCGTGCTTCCGGTGGTATACCATAGCTGCAGAGCTGGGCACCATTAAGGCAGAGGGAGTGCATACTGCATTCTGTCTAGTTAGCTGGTGCAACTTTTCTTTTCTGAGTAGCTGTTTTCTCAACAGTCAGTTCAAGGATACTGGGGAGATAAGTTAATTTATTTATTAGTGTGCTTATTTTTGAGGAGGGGAGATTGCCGGTACTTGTGTATCTCCAGAAGCAAGGGAGGCGTAGGATAGTCGTTCATCTTACTTATCAACCCTCTAGCCCGGATCTCTCATTATATCACTGCCTCTCTAAGACGTATAAATCCAATCACTTAAGATAACAGGAGAGGGAAAGAAAAAAATCAACAAACCAGCAGTTTGGATGGCATGTTATTATAAGAGACTCAAAGCAATGTGGGCAGACAAGGAAGAGTAATTAGGCTTTTATGGTTGAATTGAATGTAACACAAAACCTGGAAATACAAATTAAATTTTCTCTGACATTGTTGCGCATCCAGAGCTCAGGGAAAAAGACTCTGGAGACTCTGGGAGTAGGGGGAGGTCCTTTATATCCTCAGCAGTCTAGCCTGGCACAAACACGTCACAAGGCTGAAAGCTGTGCATCAGATCATTAATCCAGTTATCATTGCAAACGGCACAAAACGTTAATAAAAGCATAAAGGTCTTTAATGTGACAGGTAATTAAGAGTATAACCTTGGGCTGTATTTAAAAAGCATTTAAGAGAGTGTTGTTAATTCTACTTTTATGAACAGCATAAGCCATACAACTGAAGATTCTGAAGAGGTATTTCTTGCTATGCAACATCCTATCTTTAGGTTAGTCTTTAGTTATGCAGTGTGTAGTTATATAAACCAGACAGATTGTTTAGCCTCTTACTGTGACAGGTGTCTCTGAACAGGAGAAGTCAGGGCAGTCTTCCATTCCTTACACAGTAAGGCCATTAAAAGCAAAAAATACTTTTTGGAATGGCAGTATACCTCTTGTTGAATGTGGTTAAAACAGTGCTGTGTGCAACTGAACACTGAGACCATAAGGGAGGTAACAAACAAGATGAACGAAAGAGGCAATTTGGCCACGTGTCACTTGTTTGGTTGATACTGCAGTAGCTTGTTGATCTGAGCATCTGAAACGTCTGTTTCTTGGCTTGTTTTCTCTAGGGAGACAATCTGAAACAGAAACAGAACAATGTCCTTTTCTAATAACTTGAATCAGTTTCAAAATCAGCTTTGATTGTTCCCACATTAAGCCCAGAGATACAATTTGCCATCATTGTACTTGCTGTTCCCCCTGATTGGCGACAAGGTCCTTCTGCACTCCAAAATGTAGCCCACACTGTTGCGCAATTCATCTGAAGTGCAGACTGAAGTGACAGAGGTGAAGGGTCTCTACTCCTTCAATATGTGCTCTTGGTATTCTGTTCCAGCACCAGGTGGGGCTGGATTTTTTATGCTGTATGCAAAGAAAATTTACTCAAAAGCATTTAGCCTGCATTTGCATAATCTAATCAAGCCTCATTGCTTTTGTGCTGCTAATTTGTGAAGGACATACACATTGTAATCACGTTAATTTTATTTTTTTAATAATATTTTAATGTTTGTGATGTCTCTGTGTTGAGTTATATTAATTGTAAATATCCATAAATTACTGTAATAAAATACCTTTCTTGTTTGCCACCTGCCTTGGTCTAATCTTATATTATTAGCATATTGCAGGAGTCGTAGTTTGTTGGAGCTGTTCTGTTAGGTTTTCAACAGGTGGTAAATGGTGCCCTCCTGAACATGAATTGAACATCTGGGAAATTTAAAATGCACAGATTAAAATAGATCTACATTAAAAGCCTGGTATGTTACTGTATTATTTTTTAACACCATGGCAAGCATGGTTAGCATTTTTGGGGACAGAGCCATTTGTTTATTTAAAATATTACTGAATCTTCTGCAACTAAAATGTTCGCTAGACATCTTCTGTGGCGTATGGACCTGCATTCTGATTAACGTCAGAAATGGTAAAACCCCAGATTGTTTCAATACTAAAAATACATCTGTTATGTGCTTTTATACAGTATGTCTAGTTGGGACATAATTTGAGTTAGCTGTCTTCATCTCTTTTTCCTAATTAGCAGTGCATCCTTCGATTGCCTTCAGATCACGGTAAGCTTTGTTTGTATTGTGACCTCGCCTCTCACTTCTCATCCCATAGCTCTACCCAGCTATACCTGTGGAAATCCGGGACGCCTGCAGAATGGGATCCAGCAGGGCTCCACTTTCAACATTGGAGACAAGATCCGGTATAGCTGTAATCCTGGCTACGTCCTGGAGGGACACACCATCCTCTCCTGCCTCGCCACATCTTCAGGCACGGCTGCCTGGGACTTCCCTCTGCCCTACTGTCGGGGTAAGACGGCTGAGATCTGATGGTTTCATTACTCTTCCAGACCATCATCCGTTCGTGTGACAGCTTATTCCGAGGACACTTACAAGAACTACAACGGTCGAAAAGCAGTGTTGCAAACAAGAGGAAAACAATGCAAAGAGCGGAAATCTAGTAAATTACTAGATTACTAGTAACCGAGTAATAGTGTAGTGTAGAAAAAGTGTTAAAGAGTTAACATAGTACAAGCTGCTCTCTAGAAAATTAGTAAATATACTCAAAAAGAAGTCAAATGCTTCTAATACAAATCCCCTGCCTGGTTGCTGCTCTAATTTTTTTTTTTTTTGAAGGTGCCAGTAAGTGCCAATAAGATGTTACATTTTGCCTGGGGCTCATGGGGGAGAGAACCCCAGAGTCTGTTCTGCATTCACAGTCCCACACTCGTAAAGATCTCAGGAAGAAACCGACTGCCAAAGAAAGCTGTCTCCCTACACATTCACTTCATCTCCTACATGCAAATGCACGCCAAGTGCTTTGTTACGATCGTGTTTCTTTCTTTAGTTCCTTTTCTCTCAGAGATGTAAAACTGTGCCAAAGGCCTACTGGGGTCCAGAAACCACAGTCCCAGATGACAGAGCAGATCAAGCCAGATGTCTATAAGGACTCTCCTTCTCACCTGCTCTGCTTCTATAATCAGACTGTTCTGCACTTCATAGCAAACAAGTGGAGCAGAGACTCTTCTTCACATTCTGTGTTGTCTGGACTTTCTTCATGGGTTTTATTTGTTACTTTGCTATTGTCCAGGTTGGGAGCACGCACAGTTTTGGAAAAACAAAAATATATATTATCTGGAATGTAAATGTTTTTATAATGCTTGCATTGTTTTCTTTAGACGCTGAATCTTAAATTTAGGGGGGCCTTCCCATTGTCCAGTGTTTTCGCAGAAACAAAAGGTCTCACTCCCTGAGTGTTTGCAAAACTGTGCCACCTCTTTGTCTTGTTAGCTTTTTTTAATGGCCACATTTTTCGCAGATGTGACCCTGTTCCTCCTCTTTGTTTACAGCAAGCAGTAAATTTACTTTTGCAGAGCAAGCTGCTCTCTCGTTTCTGTCTATTGATTTACTGCGCTCTTCCCCAATGCAATTTAAAAGTGCATTTCCTTTGGTTTAAGATAAAATTACTTTTTTTCTTTTTCTGGGATGATGGATGCCTGAATATATTTGCAACAAATACATATATAGGGAGACATTAACTTCTCACAAACTTTTTAATCAGAGTCATGATTTATGAGCCTAATCCTCCCTCCAACACTGTCTTTTTTACTGTAAAAACTATTTGACAATCTGACCATGAACAGCAATAATTCAAGCAAAATTTATACAGTTTCATGGTTGGCTTTTTTTATCCCTTCTAGGCTTTGGAAGGCATGGTCAGAAAAATGGTTTCCTTTTTTCCTTTTTGTCAGTCTTATGGCCAGGAGGGGTCCTTGTGCTACAGTAGCTCCAGTGTTTGAGTAGCGGCCAAACAAAGCACACAATTAATGCTGGTGGACGAGCTTTTAAAGTTTTAAAATCCACAAAAGAAACTTCACTGGGAGGTGTACAGGAGACAAGTTAACCATGGTTCCCATTACAGAGATCTGTCCTGAAAGTTTTGTCTGCTGCATCCTCCTCGGTTTCTTTGAAATATCTATGTACTCCCAGCTTTCCTGTGAGTGATTTTGTTGCAAAAAACAAAAAAGTTAATCATATACCATATTTATTGTAATTGGTTCATTTGAAGTGAAAAGTATTTAAACTTTGCAGTAGATCATTACGGACTAAGCTCATTGAATGCATCACTTTTAGAATTCAATGAGCATTAGTGTAGACATACAGTATTAGGGATGTGTAGTGTAGTATAAGCTTGACCCCCGAGATTGAGCCTAAGTGTTGTTCACAGGATTGCAGGTCTGTAGTTGTCCAGATTGTGACATACTGTGTCAGCAGACTTCCTCTGTTAGGAATGGGACAATACACAACAGACAGCACATTTTGAGAGCATCCTCAAAACCGGAGATCCTGGTGGCCAGGAAGGAATTTGGACTGCAGCAGTCATGGCATCCCACTGATCTTTTTTAAATTGTCAAAAAAGGGTTCATGAGGAACTTATTGTAGTGCTCTAATAAGCTCTCCTCTGGACAAACTTAAGTTTAGAAAAATAGATGTATAAAATCTGGTCATACTACCACTCTACAGATGACAATGAATTTCACAACAGTATGCTCACAGCTACAGTAAGTAAAATGCTACATATTCCATAATAATAATTAATAATTAAGAACCCTTAATAATTAGTAAAATTATTCTATTTACATGTATACTGTATATAGTGGTGTGAAACTCTCATTGTTCATACATTATTTTACTTTCATAGTATGACCTGTGATTGCAGAAACAATATTCACGTAATGCATGCATCTATGTACATGTACAGTATGTTTTTGTTCAAATGTTTAAAGACACTTATAAATGCCATGGCCTATGGGTACACCTGACCTGCTGCTGTTCTTCAGACATCTCTAAGAATGGTTACATTTATTTTATAAAGAATTTATTAAATAGAGCATGTTAGCCATTCAGGGCCTCTAACTTACTGGTGCCTTTTATATCCAACATATAGTGTGTGCACCCCTGAAGCAATACCTAAATGTCAACAGCAATTGTTTACTCAATGCCAGTCTCCAAATGCTCCTGTCGTGAAGGGATGTTTTTCAGATGATATTTGAAATATGTTAACCTCGGGGATCACACTTGAGCCTTCCGCCGACTGGCAGGTACTGCGTTTTTGCTTCCGATAAGTAACGTTGATGATCATTCTGCAGTCTCCCTGTCTAGAGCCACTGCCGCTGTGCAAATAAAGGCTTTCAAGAATTAAGCGCTGCTGTACACAGGGGGGAAATAGGGAGAAAATCCTAGATATAAATATTTGAATTTCTCCTTTTGTTTTCTTTATTTACCCTTGTGTACCTCTCTATGAAGAAGCTGTACATTTTGAAAAAAGAGTGATGATTTTGCACAGCCATGTTGCTGGAGCTGCAGACGCGCATATAAACCAGTGCCAGGCGGAGGATTGGTTTTGCTTTTTAACTTAAGAACATAACATGACTGGACAGATGAGACGAGTTTACTTTAAAAGCACAGCTGCACTAGGATTGCTTTCCTGCTTCTATACTTCAACGACACACTGTATCCTTGGGAGCACACTCTATGTGCCGAGTCATGTTAGTATGTAACACTCATAACAACATTTCAGGAACTGAAAGGTTTTTAAGACAGAAGATTAGAGATGAAGCCCAATACCCACGGATCCAGTTTTAGTCTTTGCCTTCTGTGGACGATTGTCACTGAAAGCCTGGTACACCCAGACACAGCCTTGACCTGCCTCCAGACGCGCGCACTGACAGGACTTTATTAATCAGCCTCTCACTGTCAGGACGGCACCCTTTTTCATCACTTTGTTGTTCTCCTGTGCTGAGCAGCCTGTCCTTGAAGTGAATTAATGTCGAAACGTAACTTTGTGTTACAGCTTTTGGTTGGGACTTGGGAACTTTTTTGTCAGTGTTCGTTGAAAATGAGGTCAGACAGGAGCTTTTTATAACTTTCGGTTTTCAAGACTTTTCATCACTTACCCAGATGTGATACTCCGAAGAAGTGTCTTTTTTTTCCTTTTGGTTAATTTATGTTACATTAAATTTAACTTTATCATTCTTAAGAGCTTCTGAGAGTACTGTAGTTTCTAGTTGCTTTGTTAATTTTAGCCTTATGCCCAATATGTGGGAAACTGCTAAACTAATGTTTGGAGCATTTTTTACAATCAAAATTAAATGCAAACAATCAGCTAACCAATTCCTACATACTGTATACTTCATACTTATTTTAGTGAAAAAATGGACCTGAAAATTCTAGTTTTCCCCCCATCACCAAAATCTGACGCTGGTGATTTATGTTCAGGATTTTGGATGGAGCACTACTGTTGTACCCTCGAGCATGGTGCTTTGCTGAGATTGGTTGTGTATAATAGCATATAGTAATATCTTACTGTATTCATGCGTATTCTACAGGTCATCATTGATCTATTGGGTTAAATAAAGCTATATTAATAATATCTGGGCTGAGGCACCCAATTTATCTTCTTGCAGTTGAGCCTTTGCATTTAATTATGAACAAATTCAATAATGCAATGTTATTGCATGTAAAGTGCACTGAACATTGATTCATTATTGCATTATTCATTATTGATTCATTCATGCTCATTATTACTCAAGGAGCACTTTCGTCCTTCTCCTTTTGAGCAGAGGCTCAGATCAGGACAGGCTGGCCCCTGGCTTATAACAGCTGTCTCCTCCTGTGTGTCCCTTCCAGCTGACGATGGCTGTGGTGGCACCTTGCGGGGTCAGAGTGGGGTCATCACCAGCCCCAATTACCCACAGGAATACAACAACAACGCCGACTGCACCTGGACTGTGCTGGCTGAGCCTGGGGACACCATCGCCTTGGTCTTCTCTGACTTCCAGCTGGAGGATGATTACGACGTGCTGGAGATCAGTGGCACCGATGGCTCCTCACAGTGGCAAGTATCTCGGTGCTGTCCTGGAGATCAGCTGTTGCTTTTACATTAACTGACATATACACACACTCCACATCAGTGGTTCCCGCCCTGGTCCAGGAAGACCACTGTGTCTTCTGGTTTGTACTCCAGCTACAGGCTAATTGTTTTCTGTATTCTATTTGGGGCATGCAGTATATGTAAAGCCGCTTTCAACTCTTAAAGGCCCAATGAGATTTGTAAATGGTATCAACCCCTTATGAATTTGAGTTTCAGAACTGCCCTCATATACTACAGTATGGGAATTTTATACATTGTTTCCAACTGGACTTTTGCCAAAGAAAAAAATGATGTCTGACAGTATTGTTCTCACCTATAGCATGTCTTTTCTTCATAAACTGATCAACTAGTAAGAACTGTTTTGTCAGAAATAACTGCAATCAAAATGAGGAGAGACTGGGTACTTCTCCGTATGAATAAGGTGTTGGCAACAGTAACTTTAAGGAGTGGTAGTTTTAACAGATCAATTATGTCATTAATTAGCACTGGAGATTTAGAACTCAGCTTGAAATGAAAAGGCACAGTGTTCCTCCAGGACCAGGGTTAAGAACCACTGCTCTCTCTATATACTGTACTGTATATACTGTATGCAGTACGCTGAGATGTGTCCTCATAAAACATCACAGGAGAATTGTTCATTCATCTCCAACACCCTCCTGCTGGCTGGACTTCTGTATATGGCCTGTGAAGCACAAAAGAAATCTATACTTGAAATCTTACTATTCGCTTTACCGTTCAGAGCAAATCTCCTTGATGGACACTTAAGGCTTAGTAAAGTAATGTTTGCCACACAACTTGTTATTTTAAGAAAGAAGTAGTTAGCTGAGCATTGCTGAAGGTAGTGGATTTGTTGAGGTCAAGAAAAAAGCCCTTTCTCAGCTGTTGAGCAGATTCTGCTGTTGTGCATAAGCACCTGCCCCAGGCCCTGCTTGCTGGATGTATAATATTAGGCTCTATGTTACTGGGTTTCTGCTTTGTATTGTGCTTGGTATTGTGCAGAACAGGTATCATTTCTATGCCAAGGCTGCTCTGTACACTCTTACACACTATGTGCATCCAGATCCACTGCCTCAGGCACAGACACTTCCTCTTGAGTGCACAGTTTGTGTACATTCTGTAGGTGTCTCTTGCGGCTGATTTGTTGATAGAAGGCAGCATATGTGGAAGCAGCAATTCCTTTAACTAACATGCTGATGCTACATAATTAGGGCTCATTACCCTCTGTTGCAAAGATGTGGAGCAAGCAAGCTGTGTGTTGGGGTCTGGTGTGCATTGTTTTCAGTGCTGTGTAGTTGCCTCTGAGGCACTGAGGATAAAAATTTCGTGTCTGGTGGAATGTTCTTCTAGAAGTAACAAAAAGAAAAAACAGTGTGTTGGGTTCGTGCAGTATTAATTAGTGACAATTACCTGCAGTACTCATTGACGTTGCCTTAGTTTGTTCACTAGAAATACCACCTTCTCTTTCTAGGGTTCAACAAATTTAGGAGAAGCTAGAGAATAAACATGTTGCAAGATTCCTTATTAGATCTAACTTGGTTTAAAACATGCTCAAAATGTCTTCAATATATCACATAGTCTGTATATTCCCCATTCATTCAGAGACTTTTTCAGAAAGATTGGAAGGACATTTCTGTGAGGCTTAGAACTGTGTTTTTGTGATCTAATCAAGGTATCTTTGTGAGGGGAAGAAAAAGTCCCATGTTGAGAGAATGTACAGTATAGCGAACATATCTGTCCTGCTGACAACCTGTCCTGCAGTGTCTGCTGATGACCTGGAGAGAAATCTAATTGAGCGGCTCTTCCTGTTACTTAACATATCGCTTACAAGGCATGCGGAGATCAGCCCCTGCAATTGAAGAGGCATTCTGCTTAATTGGATCAGCTCTGAAGCCTGTTAGATACTGCACATGACAGGGACGCACTGCGGACAGTTTTGCCATATATCACCTGGCCTAATCAAGGAGGAATGGAATTAAGCGTCACCACGGGAACCCAATTACGGTGGTCACTTAATGACATATAAATTGCAGCCTGCACCTCTTGTCTGCTGAATAGGCTCTTTGGACATCTATGTATTATTGAGCAATGAGACTTAGCTTTGGGATGCACAGCATGGCTGGATTTAATGTTCAGAGCTTTTGTTTAGTGCAATAAATAACTCCTGAAATGAAGCCGTCCCTTATAGAGGAACACGGTTCCCGATAGAGTGGGTTAAGCTTGATCGATTGCCAGGGGTGGCTACTTCTCCAGCAATTCTAAGACCAGTCTGAATTCACACCAAAGCACAGGACTGAATTAAAAGGACCATTAATAATGGAAGCAGGGAGGGGGACTAGGGAAAGACTATAATGACATTTTGACCTTGATGTGCACTTGAAAAGACTGTAAATATAACTTGCGCTTCCCCATCTTCCTCCTATTATCTTCATGGACAATTAACCGATCCCAATGTCCAAGGGAAAAAACATTTCTGGCTGCTCACACCAGGAACATAATGCATAACCAATTATCGAAAGACTAGAAGAAAAATGGAACTGGGTATTTTTCGGAAGCTGATGGTGTTGGCCTGTGGTGGAGGGGCGTCAGTGACTCTGTGGATTGATAACCAGCATGTTCAAAGCATTTAGACTGGAAGGCTGAACCTGAACCCAGCCAAGGTCACAGAAAGAAAAAAAGTGGGTAATAACCTCAGGGAAGGTCCTTATTTGGATGATACGATTCCCGTCCATTCTCAATAGATAAACAGAGCTCCCCTGCTTTGCCATCATTAAGGATAATGAATGGGTAACTGGAGCTGTGGAGTTCTCCTCATGCCAACATTGATTAGGCTGTGTGTGACACCAGAAGAAGTATTGACGTGTCTGGGTGCGTTAGACATGAGCATGGCTTTCAAAGGCTCTGTCGTTTATTCCTATTAAAACACAAGTCTTCTGATGCAGCAATTAGCACTCAACTATTGAACTGGTCTCAATGGTCCCCTTGATCAATATACATTCTGAGCAAATAGGTTTTGATCTTCAACCTCTCTTGTATTCCCGAGTAACAGTCTGTTCAATCACCATAAGGGCTCGGAGCACTGCTGACAGAAAACACTGTACTTTCTGATGAATCTAGATGGGCCAGTTGGCCTCCTCTCATTTGCAAGGTTAAGAAACCTTGCTAAGAAATGAATCCTCCAGAGCTGCATTGAGACAGAATTGCAAATCAATGCAAAGCATTTTTTGTATATGATTAATAAAATAATAATAATTGATACAAACTAGTTTCGGTCCTTACATTTATCCATATTTCTCTTATGGATCCTAATTTCCGGTCCATCCGATTTTCTATCAGCAACAGCAATGTCTAGTGAACACACTCCAGGGTAATTCAGAAAATCGTTCTTTTTATCAGATGGACAAGTAGATTTTGAGTTCATTTTCTAAAGAGTAACACCTTGACTTTCTGAAGTTGGATCATAGTGACTGCAAAGGATACAAAGTAGAAAGTTCATATTTCTTTTGGCTTATTTTAATATTGTTTGATTCACCTTTTTACAGTGTAAAAAATGTGGGTTTCAAGACCATAACAGCAATCTAATTTTCTCTCCCCATCAAGGATAACCCTTCAAGTGAACTGGAGTCCAATAATATCTCTGGTTCCTGGGGCCTTGTTTGTAGAATGTTCCTTCTCTCTGAAGTACATGATGTATTGATTTACTGCTCCAAAGGAATTCTGGTAAAAAAGAGGAATCGGATGACAAAAAGGTCATTCATCAAAGAAAAAATCCCTTCTCTGTAGTGTTCTATGCCATCAAAGTATGAAGTTAACAGGAGCTCTTGACAGGTGACCACAAACCAGCTCTTAGAGTAAAATTGTTAAAGTAAGAGAGAAACACTGTGACTCTATGAGAGCTCAGTCTGTACTGTATCTACTCATGGATGTATGATTATGTGTCTTAATCATTTCATGTTGTAAGCAGCCCTTTGGAGAGATGTTTTCTTATTCTGATTGTTGCTGGGATCCCTTTTCCTCCTTTTCACTTTTTCCCTTCCCCACTCCTCTCCCAATCCCAATCCCTGTATTTAAACAAAAATGAATATTTATTTTATATTCTGATATCTTGATTTTTGGATGTTCTTTCAAGTGAATATTTTTTTTTACTTGATTAAAATGCACATATTTTCAAGCAGAAATCTACTGTGGAACTTTTACAACTTTAGCCAAATGCAAAAGGACTTTCATGGTGGCAGTGCTCAGAAGTCTGAAATAGACAATATGTTGCCAATGGCCTAAGATGAAAATCTTCATTCATTTATTTTAATGCATAGTATGCATCAGTTTCTACCGGCTGGTGCTCTCCCAGCCTTACTCTCAACACTGTTGTAGATGAATGTCTAACAGTTGTGCTATTTAGTTCTTAAAAGCTAACTCTGCAGTTTGTGCACTGTAATATTTCAAAGTTGCTGCTGAGGAATGTCTATCACTCCTGCAAGAAATGGAATTGATAGAAGCTGTTTTACTGTACCTCTAGCAATCAAAGACATCCTGAAGCTGCCCCCCTTTTTTTGGAAAACACACATGTTTTTGGGAAGAGTGGTGGTACTGTCCACAGTGCTATACTTTATCTGCTTCCTGACATGTGAAATTGAACACAGAAGCAAGCACCCACACCCACTTCAGTACAAGGGTAAGGTATTTGCTTAATTCTGCTGTTATAAGGCTTCACATCCATCAGGCAACATAAAGCAAATGGGATGCTATCATGAGCTTAAGTGTTTCATATAATAAAACGCTCAAGCGTGGGGGAAAGAGAATTTACATTGATACTCTGCTTGTACGATGGAGAGCAGGTAATTGGGCCACTTGCTTTTCCCTGCTCAAAAGATTACGGCAAAGCGATTGAAGTGACAGAATATTTGTCATTTGTCCTCAGCAACATTTATGTTCTGCAGTAGTTATTTTCCAGAGAAAAACGGGGAAGA